AAACGTAGGGAGTCCTCCCTCCGTACAAGATGCAGATCAAGTCTCCTGGTTTGGCTGGATCGGGAACCCATCCCAATCTATGTTCGACCGTACAGCAGAACCTTTTTCGTCGACTTTCTGCCCAATAAGTTACCATGATTCGCCATCTGTGCTCCTCCTTCTCCGATAATTGTTGTGGGAGAGGACCTGCGTGAGGAACATTGGTACCCCAGCGCATAATCAGCGATACCTGTTGACCCGGATTGTCATCCTCAGATACAATCCTCTTACCATTGCGCAGGCTATCAACAAAGTGGAGATGTTCGTCAACCATCCATTTTGCCCATCGTGGAGCAGGCTCACCCTCCACTAACTTATTGCATAGCAATGTCCGCCAAAACTCTTCGTGACGTTCTCGAGACATGATGCCTGTGCCCCTCGCAGCAACCTCCTTGCAACTTTCAATGAACGTTACTTCTTTCATCATGTGGAATGGAGTTGTGGGTTTTATATGTCTTCGAGCAAGTTGCAGGGCCGGTACGAGCCCATCCAGATACTGAGGTGCTATTTTCTCGCTGTACTTCCAAAACTCAAGCATTTTTTCTTTTTCCTTTTGAGTGACACCAGCTTCTAGACTTCTAGCGTAGTTCATGAAGCATTCCAGAAGGGTCAATTGATAATATGATACAGCGAGAAGATCCACTTTGTCAATCACAAACCCCTTTACGGAAATAGTATTCTCATCTGTTTCGGAGATAGTATATTGGGGCCTTGCACCGCCGGATGCTCGATGATTGGGGTTAGGGGGGGTGATGTCTCTTTTCCCCCCCACATCTGTCCAATCTGGTATCCAAGAGGGAAGTGAGAGCGTCGAAAACACTTTATAATCCCTTACACTAGAGAAGATGTCCAAACTATTGGTTTGCTTGATACACCAAAGTGCGAAACGCCTAAAGACTTGCTCGACAGACTCATCATACCTCGGGCTAACATCTCGGTCATCTGCCGACACATCACTTGCCAGTCCCAACAACCCGTAAATCTTATCCCTTGGATTTGTGCAGTTTCTAATGTTATTAACCCTTACTAGGTTAAAAAGGCTTGCGTGAGAGGGAATTGGGGAGAAACGCCGCATACCCAGTTCTTTAATCGCCCAGACCTCGTCCAAGGGAAATCTGCTCGATAGATTGATCATTTTCCCTATTGGACTTGCTATAACCTGGGTGTAGAATTCCGAAACCGGCACTAATATCTTGTTGAAGGGTATGACGATATCGCCGCATACAAAATCAGCATTTTGTGCTCGAATATACTCCTGTGTCGTCCAGATCCTGGAGAACCACGGGAGATTCAATAACCATGCCAACTTATCGCAGTCCAGTTCTTCCAGTTCCTTCATATACTTTCTAGGAATCGGTGGCAGAGAATTCAGCCTCGCCCGTCGTTTGAAGTACGTTGACGGATCACTCGAGTAGTCTCTAATGTTCCTTTTAAAGAAGCTATCCAGCTTTCGCAGCACTTTGAGGGCCTCCTCGAGTTTCGGATGCCTTGGCCCCAACCAAATGAGCACCTTGTCTGCCTGAGAATAAATTGCACCCATGAGAGGCACCTGTACGTTCTTCTCTTGGAGATCGGCCTGGTTTATGCAGACAGCATCTGCCCACAGTACACGCTCAGATTTCTCATCTCGAAGCTGCTGTAAAGCCTTATGTAGGTTGGGAGTAATGGAAATAGTTCCTCCCGAGCAAAAGATTTTCTCAGTGACGTTGGGATCTCCCCAGACGTAGGAAATAGCTTCATAATGGGGCTTGGAGCTCAGCGTTACATGTTTGAGATAGCAGCGAACAGATTCATCCTCGCGGCCGGGCTCTAAGACAAGGACTCTGATCTCATTAGGATTTTCCAATGGTCGATATTCATACTGTGGGTCGTCCTGATCTGCGAATCTCAGATATGCAAAAACTGACGTCCCAATAACAGCGATGAGGGCGACGGGAAGGCGCCATCTATTGTGTTGTTTTGGAGTTGGATCTTCATGATCAGCTCCCTCTGAAGTTACTTTTGTGCGAATGCTCTGTAGCTGAGGCCGATCGACTCTCGCTGGTCTTCTACGGAGACCGCGAGTTAACCGGATCCTGTCGGATCGAGCAACGACAAAAGGTTGACATCGATATAATCTTGCTTCACGCAGAATACCATTGGAAGTGGACCGTACAGTAAGGAGCGAAGACATCTCTCATATCAGGGCTCAAGAATGACAGAATGGCATTTACATGTTACAATAGCGCCATTCAACATACTTTCCCACATGAATCTCCAGCTATAGTGGAGTAGCTGAAGGTGGGGTACTTGCATGGCATACTCAGAGTCATCTAGACTTTGCAGTGCTGGTGAGTGGCTAGCTGAGTAGCTGATAACTGCACGAGCTGCTGTCGATGCAGTTTCGATGGTTTTAAATATTGCTATTCGCTACTATTTCTAGCCTATGGTGGCTTGCATACAGGCGAGAATAACCATCCATTCTCGGACTGCTACTTTCGCTTTCAGCCAGCCTTCCCTACTCTAACCGTCATAGTGAGCGGCCCGCAGCCGTAGATCTCCACATGGGGAGCCTCGAACTTTTCCAGTAGCATAGGCGATGCCGAAGATACGTGCTCGAAGTGGGTTGAGGTACTGTATATATTTCAATCATGTCTCTCGGAATGCGTGGAATGTATTTCCATTCTATCCTCAATTCTTTCTCTGTATTTCTTAAATTCAGTATTTTTAATCTCAGTATACTTAGTCCTTGATATCAAATATGGCATCCGCTTTCTACGACAAAGTGGCTATCTCGTCAGAGGTCAAGCCACAGCCAAAGAGAATCATCATATGCTGCGACGGGACATGGCAGAGCGCAGTCTCTCTCGATCCCAGCCAAGGTTGTCCTTCCAATGTAGCCAGAATAAGCCGAATTATTGCAAAAGCAGGTGTTGATCAATCAGGGAAGGAGTGGCAGCAAGTCGTCTACTACGATGCTGGTGTTGGATCTGGTGCTATCACAGAGTATGAGAAGAAGAGACAAGGTGCGTGTATACACTGGTTCATGACCGAGAGCCTCAAAGCAAACCTTTGTATTATCCGTTACACCACTGACCTTTTCCAGGTGGTCTCGGTATCGGTCTGCTAGAAAACGTAATTGAAGCGTACAACTTCATCGTCAACAATTACAGTCCCGGAGACCAGCTGTTCTTCTTCGGTTTCTCTCGTGGAGCATATACCGTTCGTGCTGCCGCTGGCCTCGTTATCGAGCTTGGAGTAATCAAGCCATCATGTATGCGCCGATTCCTCGAGATGTACAGCCACTACATCAAGGCCGAGAAGTTCGAAGAGGGTTTCAGCAAATATTCCGAATGGCAGACGTTCACAAGCAAATATCCCGTTTATATCGAACGGGCCGAAGCGGTCACCATCCAAGCTATCGGCGTTTTCGATACGGTGGGCGCTCTAGGTGTACCAGACGTGGGACATATATTTAGGAAAGACAATTCCCGGCTGAGGAAAGCGTACCAGTTTCACAACACGAACCTATCGGACAGTTAGTACTCCTCTTTATCCGTGTCAACGTTCGAAACGCTAAAATACAATAGATATCCTCCACGCCTATCAAGCCCTGGCTCTTGATGAACGCCGCGAGCCCTTCGAGCCTTCGATCTGGAAACTGAAGTCCGGAGCCAAGACCAAGCTCTGCCAGTGCTGGTTCCCCGGTGCACACGTTAACGTCGGCGGCGGTAGCTCCGACAACGCGGATGAGGCGAATCCAAAGGGCGACCGAGAACAACTCGCCTCGATCAGTTACGCATGGATGCTCGACCGAGTACGCCCTCACTTAGCCTTTGACGAAGCCGCTCTCGAAATCCAGAAAGTGGAGATCAGGGCGAATGCACAGCCGCCCCCGGTCAAGGTAGAAGAGAAAAAGAGCGAGGGCTGGTTCTGGGATAGCTATAACTACGTGAAGGATACTGTGGTTGGAGGGACGAAGAAAGCGGCCGAATATATTCCATACGGTATGGGGCAGATCGACGACAGCCATACCTTTTTGTACGATGTCATGGGGAACCCGAAGGATAGAGATGCCAACGTTATCAACGCGAAACAGATCAAGAAGAGAATGGCTATTGAAGAAGGCAAGTTGGATAGTAATACGAAGGACGACTTCGACGGCGAGTACACCGTCGAGCGCGTCCATCCGAGTGTGTTCTTCAGACAAGTGTATGAGAGGGAGCAAGCGGAAAAGGCCGGGAAAAAGGGCAAGGATGTGAAGTACTATGAGCCTGCAGCCATGAGAGGATGGGAGAGGATCTATGTGAAGGGTGACTCTGGAAGAGACTTTAAGGCGCGGAATGGGTTCAAGTGGGTTAAGTATGAGAAGGATAAGAATGGGAAGATCGTGAAGGATAAGCAGGGGAAGGACAAGATCGTCAATTTCATGTGGGAGTTTGAGATTGGACATATGCCGGAAGCTAAGAGCGTGGAGAAGTTCTTGATCGATCAGAGTTGGACTGAGAGTGTACATAATGAGGTCCAGAAGGGGTGGAGAGATTCCTAAGGGGGACTGTCGGGTTTTGATATTGGTGGAGTACAGTGGACTTGAAGGAGACTGACAAACCTCGCTGTCCCAGATTTAGGATGGAGTAACGGGTGTTGTTATATTTTTGGATAGAATAATTGAATGGATTGTGGTGTTTCCCCATGCTCAAATTACTTGAAAATAACTGAACTGTGAGGTGCTGAAAAGCCATACGAGATGCCACACATAGCTTGAGAAAATGGATAAGTGAAACCACACCATACCCACAATTCTTCTTGTGGACAAAATATCGACTGTGATCCTGCTATCCTTTACGGTAGGACTTATGTAACTTTCCCCTATCTCGCTCCCCTGCCCTGCCCCACTTTGTATGCACGCTATACTTCAGTCCTTTCCCGGCACCGCTATTTGATAGTTATAAATTATTTTACACGTCGACAATTTTATCGAAGCCCGCTTAGCTCAGTGGTAGATGCGCTCCACTAGTAATTCATTACTGTTATGGAGAGGTCACTGGTTCAACTCCAGTAGTGGGCAAAAGGAAGTTAAATTTTGTTGTTCGAACCTCTGTCTTTTTTTGGTTTGTAGGCTCTAGAATTTTCTTTTTGTGAAACGAGAGTATGAAAAATTTGATCGGCCGGCTTGGCCTTTTAGGGATTAGATAAGTAAAGTTAGTGTTATACTTTATTTAGCTGCCTTCTTCTCAGCTCCTCAATTACTCTCCAAAAGATTGATTATTCCTGTTTTGAAAATGGCTGGTATATGTGAAGTGTTGATTTACGGACTTTACGATTAATAGTTCCTTCATTTGGGAGACATTGCTATGTGAGCAGATCGTGTAGTTTGCATTTCTAGCCTCAAGAAACTAACGATAATACTCCATACTGGTACACTGGTACAGCTGTTTTCCTGCGGGAACTAGAATCATCAAAAGACAATCCAAGAGAGCGATTTTGGACACCAAATCACGGTATGTATACCTTTTGCTACTCTCCAGCATCACTCGACTCCTTCGCAGGAAACCAGACCACAGCCGCTATTGATATTCCGCTTTTCACTCGTCCGCAACGTATGCAACCGCGCTCGGGTTTCTACATCAAACATTATTTAGCTCTCAAACGATGGGAAGGGGCGGCTGAATTGGATGAACGTCCTAGGTCAGATCGATAGTTTGATTGTAAGAGCTAGGGATATGGAGCGGTCCCGCGGATACATACTTACCCAAGGAAGACCGAAGATGAGCGATTGGTATCCGGCTTTTGGTGGTATCGAGCAGTGCGCGTTCTTTCCCAGAGTGTTCGTAACTCTCTCTTTCGCTGAAGTCTGGCTATCTGCATACTGCCTGCTAGCCGATATTGCGAGAGTCTGGTTTTGGCATTGCAGTATAAGGGATATTCATAATCTTGGATGCTGCGCTTAATCGGTAAGGGCTAGATGGTTGACTTTCAGATATCCAGTGGGAACTATCTAGAGGTAAGATTGTGGGGAGAAAGTTCTCTTGTCAGAAGACAGAAAAGACAGTCTAGGCGAAAAGTGATGGTTCCTTTCTCTTCAATTCTCTGGAGACTCTTCAGTTGGCACAAGGGTAATATTTTGCGTTTTGACTCATTTTCCTAGACAGTCTCAAGAGGATCATTATGCAAATGTATAATGAATGCTATTTCATAAGACATTGACCGTGATAAAAAGCGTAGCATTCACAACTCTTATTCTATACTATACCTCTCCTAGCATTCGGCTAAAATACCCGAGCGAGAATTCTTGATCCCCCTGCCAGGGTAGGACATACTTCATGGGGAATCCGACAAGGAGTAAGGTTCCATCTGATCTGTCCATTCAAATCAAATGTCACGTGAATTCGTGCCCCATGCGTATAAAATTCCCCCCACCATTTCTACCACCTTTATCATCATTTCTTCAAACACTAATACCTCTATTATCTTCTACCTTTATCTTCGTTATGGGCTTCAGCTGCTGCGCCTCCACCTCCTCCTCCACCTACTGGAGGCTCTCGAATTCCAACGGGCGTTCCACTTGAAGATCCGTCGTTTTGCTCTCAGTGCGGCAATCTGAAAGATGCCACCGTCGATAAGTTCAAAAACGGTCGTTAGATGGCAACCTGCTCTCGCTGTCGTCCTACTAAGTAGTTGTCAACTGTAAGTAGTTCTAGGCCCTGGGGTGTTGTGGTCAGCGGTGGGAGGGGGTTCCGGGGGTCTCCCCCGATTTTTGAAATCACTACTAATTTGATTTTTAGAAACGTAAAGCTGTTGGTCAACTAGAAGGTCAAACTCCACGCTATCTACAGCCTACCAATGCTTCGATTGGGCGTTCCGCCACTGCTACTTCTCGCTCTGTGATACCTCAGTTCTTTCCACGCGGCCAGCGTAGTCAAGATACGCTTGCTGGAGCAACTGCTCACCGTCAATAGGTACAAATATCTCGCGAGCATTGAGCCCAACGTCATCGTGGTAAAGAGCCTTCGCCAACTCCTCCGATACGACAATTGATGCCCTCAACTCCGACATGATTCTCAACCTCAACAGCGGCACCGGCAACGTCTCCATCGATAACATCGAATTAAGCCCTACAGTCTTTCGACGGCCGTCATTACCTTCTTACCGTGGCCGAGATCTTACTCGTAGAGCATCCGTCTCTTCCACACGTTCGACATCTCGCCCTGTAAACCCAACGGCTTCGCAATACTTCATCTGCGACGATTGCAACCTAGCTCGTGGGGATAGTCGTCGAATCGCTCCGGAAGCGGAACTTTGCTATAACGATAACCGCTATACCCCTATAGCCGAGCAACACAAATATTGCGTAGTCGGTAAACATGAACTTCCGCGGCCGGAGTTTGACGAATCTCAAGTTGAACACCCAGCTTGCAACACCTGTCGTCTCGGATCGAGTAGTCAAGGCCCGTTATCTTTACCATCGTCTCAACCGGTTACTCGTGCTTGTCCACTTGCCATCAATCTTACCGCCTCTGATCTAACCTTACGGCCTGGTTCACCAACTGCTATGTCTGATCCGGCTCTTCGTGATGCTGATTGGCAACATATCCAGGCTTTCCATACCGAGCTTGCACGAGATAGACTAGAAGAGTGTAGTCGATGCTCTGAACGTTGGTTTGATATGGGTCTCCACGAATCTGTCTTTAGCTCTTGCCATCGTTCTGATCGTTCGAAGCAAGCTCACGAGCCCTTTCTCTTTACGAGTGACAACCACGCCGATCCTGGTGATGTTGATCCAGATCTCCCCGAGCTTACTCAAGTCGAAGAGATGTTGATAGCCCGTGTGCATACGTTTATCGAAGTTCGACAGCATAGGGGCGCTCAATATAAATATACAGGACATATCTGCAACTCTCTATGCGATACAAACAAGGTTTACAATAAACTTTCCCTTTTGTCACAAGATTTAGATATCATTGTCCTCCGTCCGTCAAACTTTGATCAGATTCCGCGTATCCAGCGTCAATTCCGTAGAGATTACCGCGTTCGGCGGGATTTAGTAGCTAAATGGCTGGATTACTTGTGGCGAAATCACCCTGGCTATCGTGATATCACTGTCGATGGTGAAGCCCTATCTCAACTTCCGGAAGATGGCTTTGTCGACGACCAGTTGATAGTCTAGCAACTCGAAGCTGAGGGCTCTGATACCGACAATACGGATGAAGCTGACCCCCTTCCAGAGAGCGTCGCAATTCCGGATCTGGTAGCTGAGAACAACGAGATTACCAAGCTTCATCGACAGATCCAAGGCCGTCAACCGGAACAGTTACCAGCTCTTACAATGCCTTCGTACCGCGCCACCCCAATCTCCGAATTCAATAGAAGTCAACAACTACTTAGTATTGCTTTTCCAACCCTCTTTCCTCGCGGTGAAGCTGAATTTGTTACTCCACGTATTCGATCAATTGAATATTCGGAGTTTGTAAGGCATCCACTACTTTGTAAAGATGGTCGTTTCGCTCGACATCCACGCTTCCGGTATGTTGTTTTCAACACTATTATGAGAAAGCAGGTGAATATTCGCGCTGACTTCTTCGTTCGGAAGCTCTCACCTCGAGATCTTACACTTGAAGATCTCCGCCGTGCTTTCCAAGATGACTCCGTTGAAGCCCAAGCTACTGTCGATTCCGTAACCCGTTATTCTGGATCGTTACGAGGAACTCGCCCATTTTGGGTGGTAAAGATCGCCAGTTAGAAGCAACTGTCCATCAACTTGGTTGCCCGAATCTATTCATCACGCTCTCGGCGGCTGATTACCATTGGGACTCTCTAATGAAGCATATGCCTCGCTACAACGAGTGGCTCGATGGTAGCCCTGACCAGCCTATTCGGATTGCGCGAGAGCTAGTCAGAGATAACCCAATGATTGTAGCTTACTACTTCTATCGGCGCTTTGGCGCTTTTAAGAAGAACGTGTTGCAGCCAAAGTTCAACATAATTGACACCTGGGACTGGTTCGAGTGGCAAGCTCAAGGTAGTACGTATAGCCATGGCGTCTATTGGTGCGATGGACCACTAGAGCCTGAAGTTAGTGGTAATACCAGCGAGGAGGTTCGTGATGCTTTTGCGAACTTCTGGGGCATCCATATCTCTGCTATTAACCCCGAGCCCTACCGTTGGCGCTAGTAAGGTTCAGGTGGTATTGGAACTCGACAACGACCGTTCGATGAGCGTTCAGCACTCTCGCTCTCTACTAACGAGTTAACAAACTCCTTCGAACTCCTGTCGGATGTCGTCAACCGGCTTCAATCTCATAACCATGATAAGGGCTATTGCTTACGGAAGAGCAGGTTGACAGGCGAATAAGAGTGCCGATTTGAATTCCCCAAGCAGCATCGAGATACCCCTACAGTTCTCCCCGAGTCTGGAAAGAGCTGGTCGAAATTCAGACCGGTCCGTAACAACGCGATGCTCAATCAGTATAACCGCCTTATTATGCTGTCGTGGCCTGCGAATACAGATATCCAGCCTTGCACTGGTAAAGAGGGTGTTGTCGAATATACGGGAAAGTACGCAGCAAAGGCTGAGAAGGGCTCGGAGTCCTACACGCGGTTGATGGCTAAACTCGTTCCTTTTTTCAATCAGAATGCTCCATATCCGTCGTTCATCTCCAAAGCGATGAACAGGCTTATTGGCGAGCGCGATTGGTCTACTCAAGAGGTTTGCCATCTTCTACTCGATCTTCCTCTATCGCACAACACTCGAATGGTTATCAACGTCGATCTTCGACCAGAAGAGAATTAACCGCAAATGTTCTTTGTTGAAGCTGGCGTTGAAGGTCAGCAAGGCAAGTCGTTACTACAAAAGTATAAAGATCGGCCGGAGGAGGACGAGAACGTCAGCTATCTCAAATTTACAAAGGATTTCTCACACCATGGCAAGATTCAGCCTCGTCCACGAGCTAAGCCGCGAGTTGTCAATTTGATGCCCTATTATTCACCTGCTGATACTGACAACTACTGTCGTGCGAAGTTAATGCTCCACAAACCATTTCGTCGCCTTGATGAGCTCCTCCAAATCAAT